CCGTACAGAAAAGCGAATTTTGGATTCCCTTCCTGCTTTTCCATAGTCATTTTCTCAAAGTCGGGGCCATTTTTCGCAACAAATACTGCCAATCGTTCAATAGCAGTTCGCAGTTCCTCATCTAAAAGAGAATTTTGATTTCAGAATGACTTATCATGAATTTTCACCGTACGAAAAGTAAATGCAACATCTACTAGTCCCTAGGAGAGCTCTAGTTTGCACTGGTACAGATAAAGTCAGTTCTCAGAAAAGTATGAATAAAAATTAGACAAACAATTGTCTTAGGATGTGACGAAATATTCAAAAACAGAATGCAGATTTCTACCTGGTGGAGGTCGAGGACGGTAGCCATCATCACCCATAATTAGTTTGAAGGGCTGGGATAAACCTGAAAGTCTAACTAATGCAAACGAGTATCTCACCAACTGTTCACCAAAAAACAGACGAAAGAAAAATTAGGATTGGAATGAAATTAAGGTATGTATTAAGATAGGTAGAATAATAAGGTATATTTTCAAGTGTGAACAGGAAACATCTTACTAGAAGTGTTCTGAAAGTTTTTGCGCCACTAACTTCGCGAATTTGCCTCATCAGAGGAGCAAAGATGATACATAACCGATTATAAGCAACTAGATATACTCTGTCATTCACTTCAACGAATTTCATAGTGTTGGATTTCATCGCACTTTGATTTCACCAAAGTCTAGAGAAGAAAAAATGAAAAAGAATTAAAATGAGGAAGGAATGCCGCGCGACGCGACGCTGACCATCGCGCAGCTAATCGTCCGTCGAGCAGACCAATAGGCGCATGCTCGTTCGCATCGCATCCTTGATCCGATCGAACCTGGATATTTGCCCCGGATCACTCGACTCGCTTTGCTGCTCGCGCTCGAATATCGGCTGGCTAATTTTGTTTTTGCAAGAATAGAGGGGATGTCATCATTTTGAGGGATGACATGCCCTTCAAAAAAAGCTGAGAGGCTCAGAGTTGCACGTGTCTCCGAAATTGACCCCTTTCCTAGGCGCTTATTTTAACGATTTATTCACATCCAGATTCAGGATTTCTGATATGTAAATCTACTTTATAATTGTTTTATAATTGTTGTATATTAGTGCCTCTTTTGGCAGTTTTCTCTATA